TGACTCTGGCGTACAGGTTGATCTCATTGTAGAACTCCACACCGTCCGCATTTTTGCAACTGCAAACATTGTAACAACCGGCCTTAGGAGAGAGCTGAGGCCGTGCATGCTCTCCTCTCACAGAGCCCTCCCGCTCCGCTGAAGCACCCCCAGAGCAGGGCCGGCAGGGCAGCGGCAGCTCACCTGAACACCAGCCGGTGGTCCTCGATGACGACCTTCACGTCCGTGCTGTCCTCGACGCAGAACTCCAGGTACACGTACCGCGGCCGGTCGTACCACAGTGTCTTTGCGGGTTGCCTTGGGGAAGAGCAGAGCAGCGGGCATCACCAGCGGGCATCACAGCGGGCATTTCCCGGTGCCCAGCAGAGCTCAGCAGGGCCCGCACGGGGCAGGGGTCCCGGACACGGGCTCTGCCTGGGCCGAGCCCCGGGACGGGCAGAGGGAGCCGACCGGGGGTGGGTAGCGGACACTGACCCCGGGACTCTCCCCGCTGCCGTCCCACACTCCCCTGGCCGGGCTGGCCCGTGTCCGCTCCCTCTGCCTGGCCCGGCGGCGCTCCCCACTGCTCCAGGTCGGAGGCTCCTGTCGGGCAGTGCCTCTGCCGGGCACCGTGCATGGGTTCCGTGCGCTGCCTGTCCCGTCCGGTCGTGCTCACCTCGCCATGGCGGTGCCGACCCCGCCCCGCGCTATTTTGGGCCGGGGGCGCGGCGGCCGGGCCGGGTCGGGCCGGCTCACTTTTCTCTCTCAGACTGGTTTGCAGTGCTGACTAGTGAAGTACATGAGCTTCAGGAGATACTCCTCACATCATAATCCTGTTCTCTGTAGCTTGGGTAGCGAGGGGGCGCGCTGGCCCCGCCCGGTCCCGCCCCGCAGCGCCAAGATGGCGGCGGCGTCGCGGCGCCGGTAGCGGCAGCTATGGAGGGGGAGGGCGGCTCGCTGGGCCCCGGCGAGCGCTGGGCGCCGGTGGGCGCCGTGTCAGCAGAAGAAGATGAGGATGAGGAGGACGAAGAGGCGGCGGCCACCGGGGGAGAGTCGCCGGAGTCGCTGCCGCGGCTGCGGGCCGAGCGGCGCCGGCTGCACGGGGCGCTGCTGGCGCTCGCCTCGCACTTCGCTCAGGTGCAGTTCCGGCTGCGGCAGGTGGCCCGGGCCGGCCCGGCCGAGCAGCAGCGCCTGCTCCGCGACCTCGAGGACTTCGCCTTCCGCGGCTGCCCCGCGCCGCTGCCCCACGGTCTGGGCGCCGCTCCGGTGAGTGCCCGCGCCGGGCTGAGGGGAGCCTTTACCGGGCATAGCCCCGAGGTCGGTGTGTGGGCTTAACCCCGCCTGAAGCCCATTAACGGCGGCTGCGATCCCGGCTGCGCTGCCCGCGGTGCTCGGGTTTGCACGGAGCTCAGCGCCAGATCTGCACAGGCTCCTGGTGACTCGCAGCCAGCTCGCAGGGATGTGCCCTAGAGCCCTGAGTGGTGTGTCACCGCTCCACGCCCTGGTACAGCACGGCTGACTCAGAGGATCTGTGATATGTACGTGTTATTTGGCCTCTTTCTTCCTGGATCCCTGGCCTTGTGGATCAGGACATGGATGCAAACGGTCTGGAGAGACCTCTCTCTTATGAGATGAGGTGATGTAGCTGGTACCTCTGCTTGGTGCTCACATTTCTCTCTCAGACTGGTTTGCAGTGCTGACTAGTGAAGTAGATGAGCTACAGGAGATACTCCTCACGTCATAATCCTGTTCTCTGTGGCTTGGGTATGACAATAAACCTTCAATTTTATTTACTGATAACTTTTTTTCAGGGTGAGCGAGAGAAGCAGGAGCAAATTGAGGTCCAGAAGGAGAAGCAGAGAGAGCTGATCCTGCAGCTCAAGACACAGCTGGATGACCTAGAGACCTTTGCTTACCAAGAGGGCAGCTATGATTCTCTACCACAGTCTGTGGTTATGGAAAGGCAACGGGTAAGGCTCACAAATCCTCCTGCTGTATTTCCTAGCCCTTCTGAGTGTCCTACATACTGCAGGCACTCATCAGTCTGTATTTCTCACCAGCAGCTATAGAGTATCAGGAGTTTGTCTGTATGTGTGAACGTGTCATGTGTCTTTTGCAATTATTTCTGTGCAGTAAAGGTATCCAGTTTCTGAGGGAACCTCTGGGAAAGGAGTACTGGAAGCTCCTGGGCAGCAGTGCCTCGTGGTGAAATTGCACTGCTCACTTGTGTTTTGCAGATGATTATAAATGAATTGATAAAGAAGCTGGACATGGATTTGAGTGAAGATTTTGCAACACTCTCTCCCGAGGAGCTGCGGCAGAGGGTGGATGCTGCCATAGCACAGATTGTGAACCCAGCCAGGGTGAAGGAGCAGCTGGTGGAACAGCTGAAGACCCAGATAAGGGACCTCGAAATGTTCATCAACTTCATTCAGGGTCAGTGATGAGTTTTTGAATGAGCAGACTGAATTCCTTTGTAATTCCCTGACGTAGTCATGAGGAAGAAAGTCACAGATGTCAGGAGATGGAGGAACAGCTTCTGGGTCACAGGAGAGTACAAATCTCTCTAAACTGATGGTGAGGAAAAGTACTGATAGAGTGACAAAAGAGGTCTATAGGGGTCTGAGGAATGTTGACCTTGATACTTGGGATACGCAGCTGAAATTCACAAATGTGAAATAATGATGTGAAATCCTTTTTGCAGATGAAGTTGGAAGCTCTGGCAAGGCAGAAGATGGCCACTGTGACTGTGGAGGCTCCTACAAACCCAGCACCCGACCGTCTGGGAACAGAGGTGGGCACTGCTGGGCTCAGCACTGTCAGCAAAGCTCCAGCTCCTTCCTGGAGCTCTGATGAGCAGGAGCCAGTCACTGTGTGCTTTTTCCTGGCAGCTGGTTTCTGTGCTTTGGTATTCTCTCTGCTGAAGGCCTGTGTCCTGTTCCTTTACTCTCCTTCCATGGGATCCCCAGAGTAGTCACAGAGCCTGAGCATGTTGCATGGAAGGTGGGCTCAGTCCTCAATGGGGGTCAGGAAGAGACTGCTGATACTTGGTGCAAAACACACACTAATTCATGCTCTTCAGGCTCTGAGCTCTGAGAGCAGGTACAGGGAGCTGGGAGGGATCCAGTGTTCTTTAGAGTTTGAGACCTCCCTACTTATCCCTTGAACCTGCTGGAAAGATAATAATATAGCACGAGGCATCTGCTGCTACTCAGTATGCTAACCTGAAGGGATTTCCAGATATTTGCACTCCCTTTGTGTGTATGAACAAGCAGAGTTGTTGGCTCCCTAATGAGATTATGTTTTTCTCTTTTCTAACCTGGTCAGTGAACCCAGAAGATGCCAGAAGGATGCAAGAAACGGGCCTGCAGCTCATGCGCCGCGTGCTGGCCGTGCTGCAGATCTTTGCTGTCAGCCAGTTTGGCTGTGCCACGGGTCAGATCCCTCGCACCCTCTGGCAGAAGAACCAAGACAACCAGGACTTCTCCCCCTTAATAGAGAAACTGGAGTTGTCGGTGGAGCGGGTGAGGCAGCTAGCCCTGAAACACCAGCAGGCAGAGCACGTTATCTGTTCCTCTGAGCTGCAGGACGTTCCCCTGGGAGGCAGAGACGAGCTGACTCTGGCTGTGCGCAGGGAGCTGACGGTGGCCCTGCGGGACCTGCTGGCCCACGGGCTCTACGCCTCTTCCCCAGGCATGAGCCTGGTGTTGGCCCCCATCGCGTGCTTGATTCCCGCCTTCACTCCCTCGCCGCAGACCATGCACCCCTGGGAGCTCTTTGTCAAGTATTACAACGCTAAGAACGGACGAGCCTTCGTGGAATCCCCGGCTCGCAAGCTGTCCCAGTCCTTCGCCTTGCCTGTGACAGGAGCAGTGGTGGCTACCCCCAAGCAGAGCCTGCTGGCAGCCATCCACACGGTGCTCACGGAGCACGGCCCCTTCAAGCGCAGCGCGGACTCGGAGCTGAAGGCTCTGGTGTGCATGGCGCTGAACGAGCAGCGCCTGGTCTCGTGGCTCAACCTCATCTGCAAGTCTGGAGCTCTGGTTCAGTCTCACTACCAGCCCTGGAGCTACATGGCCAACACCGGCTTCGAAAGCGCGCTCACCCTCCTCAGCCGCCTGAGCAACTTGAAGTTCAACCTCCCGGTTGACCTGGCTGTTCGGCAGCTGAAAAACATCAAAGATGCGTTTTGATGTGTTTTTATTGTCGTTCATCCATTTTTCCACTAGTAGGCAGCTGCTGGGCTCAAGAAGCCTGGCTTTTGTAAGACCAAGTTTGTCTCTTTGGTATTTGCTTTTAGGAAAATCTTAGGGTGTTGTGATGTTGGCAGTGTGTTGTCTGATGCAGAGCGGCTGGAGGCCACAGGCTGGGCGGCAGCACCTCGCCCTGCCCACTCCCTGCTGCTCTCAGGCCAAACTGCCCTGCCCAGTGTTTGGGGGTGGGGGGCAGAGGCCTGGCCACGGGGCCTGCAGGTGGGGGAAGGCCCGTGGGATGTGCAGCTGAGCTCCTTTGTGGTTATTTATCACAGTCTCCGCTCTACACCTTGCACACACACGATCCCTCGTGGAGGAGGGAGCTGGCAGGTGTGGGGGCTGCCCAGTCACAGGGGACTTGGCCTCCCCCGGTAGGAGAAGGGGAGGGCCGTGCCGGAGGTGCCCGGGGGCTCCTCCAGCGGCTCTGCAGTCTGTGTCCCTTGGGCTGCCGGGGCGCTTCGTCCAACGGACCCAGCTCCTTGTTCCGGGCTTTTTTGGGGGGTCAGTGCAGCCCGGTGTCCCGCGGGATATATTAAATACCGCTGTACTACCTGTGGGCCGAGCCCGCCGCCGTCCCGTGTGCTCTGTCCGTTACCGGGGCTGTGCCGTGCCCGGGGAGGGGGCGGGCGAGGCGGACACCCGGCACCGCCGGGGCGGGGGTGGCTGAGGCGGACGCCGCACCGCTGGAGTGGGGGAACGGGGGAAGCGGACACCGGCACCGCTGGAGTGGGGGAACGGGGGAAGCGGACACCGGCACGGCCGTGCCCGGACAGCGGTGGCTGAGGCGGACACGGCACCGCCGCCCGGTGCCGGCAGCAGCTCCCGGCTGCGCGGCGGAAGTGACGCAGGCTGTCTGGGTAAAAGCCGGGCGCAGCATTCCCTTTGCCTTCCGGCCCAGCGCCATCGCAGCGGAGCCTCGGTGAGTGCGGGCGGCAGCGGGATCCGCCGCCATCCGCGGGAGTGGCGGCCGGGGCGAGGGTGGCGGGCACGGTCTGACTGCCGGCTGCTGTGTCCGCAGAGATGGGGAAGTTCATGAAGCCGGGGAAGGTGGTGCTGGTGCTGGCCGGCCGCTACTCGGGGCGGAAGGCCGTCATCGTGAAGGTGAGCGTGGGGCTGGGCCGGCGGGGCCGGGGCGAGCGCGGGTCCGCGCTGTCCTGCCGGGGCGAGCGGGAGCCGGGGGGGCGGCACGGGCGCGGGTCCTCCGGGGCCGCGGCTCCTCGGTGCCATCGCCGCCGCGGCCTGTGTGTTTCAGAACATCGACGATGGCACCTCGGACCGGCCGTACAGCCACGCCTTGGTGGCCGGCATCGACCGCTACCCACGTAAGGTGACTGCTGCCATGGGCAAGAAAAAGATCGCTAAAAGGTCCAAGATCAAGTCCTTCGTGAAGGTTTACAACTACAACCACCTGATGCCCACCCGGTGAGTGCTGCTGGCGGCAGGGGTCTTGGCTGCTTTCGTGGTTCTTGTGTTCTCGACTGAGCACCGAGAGTTACCAAACTGTTAATGCTGTGGCTGAGTGAATGTGAGGCTCAGGCTCTGCACAAATGGAGTTGGGGTCTGAGGCTGAGTGGAAATATTAATGGGCTTTTGGGATGAGGCAGCTGGCTCTTATTTCAGCCACACTGATCTTCCCTTTGCTCAGGGGGTGTCACGAGGTGGGCAGTTTGACAGCTGCGAGGGTCTGGAGCTGGCAGAGCCATTTCTTACTGTGCCTCAGGGCTCTCAGAGCAGCTCCCAGGCACCACATGGGACAGAGCTGCATATCCCTCAGAAAGGGTATGGCTGTTCTCTTTATAGGCTGAACTGAGACTGCTTTGGTGGTTTGGTGATTCCTGAGCTGAGGAGATTTATGAGCTGTAACTCCTTGTCTGGACACTAGAATGAGTGTTGACTGATCCTGGTTCTGCTTGGTTTTCAGCCCTGTGCCAGGTGCCATGCCCCTTTTGAACTGTTCTGCTCTCTCCCAGGTATTCTGTGGATATTCCCCTGGACAAGACAGTGGTCAATAAGGACGTGTTCAGGGATCCCGCTCTGAAACGCAAAGCAAGACGTGAAGCCAAGGTGAAATTTGAGGAGAGGTGAGTTGGGAGTTCGTCTCTTCAGTGGTGTTTGTGCTGTTACTGGTGTGAGGGGTCGGTGTCACTGTGCTGCAGTCTGTGTGTTTCTGAGTTGTCACTTCCACCCCAGCTTCTTTGCATGCATGTTTGTTGAGTGTGTTCCTTTCACCAGTGTGTGTGTGCACCATCATGCCAGCACCTGTGGGGCTTTCAGGTGCCACAGGATGATCTGACAAGATGCTGCCCATTCATCCTCTCTCTTATCACTGGGCTGGGTGGGCCAGGGCTGTGCTGACCTTTGTGTGGGAGTGCTTGGGTTTCTGCTCTTTCTTTATGGTTTTCTGTTCAGAAGCTCCTTCAGAGGAAGGAGCTGTGTGGCCTCAGTGGGACACAGTGTCTCAGGCAGCCCCTGAGCTGTTCTCCAAGGGCATCTCCCCCTGCCACACGAGGTGTCCAGCGGGATGGCTGTGTCCTGTGCTTGTACCCGTTGGGGTGGAAACTGTCACAGTGCTGGTGTCTTTCATGAGAAATTTGGACCCTGGCTCTTGCTTCCCTTGCAATTTCAATATTTAAAGTGGGTTTAGTTGTAGCTCAGGCCGTAGAGAACAGGTGAATTACCTCTGGGTGAATTAGGTGCTACATTCTGTCTGTCTGGGACAGCTCAGCTACAGGTTTGTTGCTGTTACCTGCTAATACCCATCCTTTAATCTGTGTGTTCTCTTTCAGGTACAAAACTGGCAAGAATAAGTGGTTCTTCCAGAAGCTGCGATTCTAAAGGTGTAACAAGGTTGCATCAATAAATGTTTATTAAAAACCATGTATTTTTTGTTATTTAACAAACAAACAGTGGCCTTTGTGGTGTGGTCATGCTTGCTCTGTGTCTCTAAGAGCTGGGGAGGGAGCCATTGCAGTCCAGGTGAGCATCAGTACGTTTGTGGAGCCTTGTGCAGGTGTCACCTCTGGCACTGCTCCAGGTGTGGCCAGGGCTGCGCTTCCTTCTGCAGCTGCAGGCTGCTGGATCTTGCCACAGGGGAAATCTCTTATTCCCAAAACTTGGGTGATCCCTCTGAAAAAAAAAGGGTGAGAGAGGGAAGGCAAATGTGTGATTCCAGGTTAAGGCTGAGTGTTGACTGGCCTGTGGGTGTTGGATTTCAGCTTCCCAAACGGGGCGGTGCTGGTTGCTGGCCACGCGGGGAGTGGGGCTGGGTCTGCTTGTAAATCCAAGATTGAGGCAGGAAGAGTTTGTTTTTGTATTTAATATCTGTGGATTTCAGCTTCCCAAACGGGGCGGTGCTGGTTGCTGGCCACGCGGGGAGCGGGGGCTGCGTCTGCTTGTAAATCCAAGACTGAGGCAGGAAGACTTTGTTTCTCTAGTATCTAGCTCGTTCGGAAGAGTTTATTCCTATATTTAGTAGCTGGTGCATTCCTGGCAGGCCAGGTGGGTGCTCAGGGAAGGCGAGGCAGGCGAGGCGGGGATGGGGAATCGTGAGGTACCGGGCAGGGCTGGGCGGGCCCGGCTTTCCGCCGCCCTCGGGCCGCGGTCGGGGCTGCGCTCGGACGGGCCGGGGCGGGGCGAGTTTGCGAAAACGAAAGCGAAAGGCGAGAGCAGACACGGGGTCCCCGGTAGCACGGACGGAGCAGGGAGAGCGGTCCCGGCAGGCAGGGCTCCCCGCGGGACCGGGGCTCCGGGCCGTGCTGCCGCCAGCGCCGCGGGGATGGACTCGGAGGAGGTGAGGAAGAGCCAGGGACCGGCGGGCGGGGGGCGGCGCAGCGCGGCTGAGACCTCTCCTGTCTTTAGGAATCCTTCGTCCGGCTGCAGGACGACATCCTGAAGAGCCCCGAGCAGCTCCGGCAGGAGATCGAGCGGTGCAAGGTGGGTCCGGCTGCTCCCGAGGGGGTTGGCCGGCCGCGCCCTGGCTGTCCGGGTTCCGCCCGCTCGGCCCTGGCCCCAGTCTCTTCTGTAGGACTACGAGTCAGAGACGGCAGAGAGGAGCAATCCCATGGAGAGGAGAGCCTGTTCTAGAGCCCAGGCTCATTCCCACGGGCACAGCCTGTGCCGGGGCTGGGTGGCTGGTGGGGGTGACTCAAATGTCGTCAGGGTCTTGCTGTCTGATGGTGCTTCTCACAGGAGCTTTACAATGTTCTGGAGAAAGACTGTGTGAAGCTACAAATGGCCAAGGAAGTTGCACAGCAAAGGACACAAGGGCTGAAGAAAGGAGAACTTCATAAAATTTTAGAGCAACAACTGCCTTTAAATGGAGATGAAGAAAGAGTCCACCAGGTCAGTGTTCAGTGGATGTGTCTTTGGTTTGGAAGGGTGGCAGGGGCTGCATGATGCAGGTCACTGCTCTGAGATCACTTGCTTAGGATCCAGTGGAGGTTTTATGGGAAATACAAGGCCTGTGCCAGGAAGTGAGGCAGTGCTACAGCAATGGCAGGGCTGTCCTCAAAGGAGAGGAACCAGGGCAGAGCTGCAGGCAGTCAAGAGCAGGAGAATGGGCTGGAGCTGTGTGCCCAAGAACACAGCTGTGCTCAAAACAGAAGTGTACTGCAGCCCCTTGTGTCCTGGTGTTCCCTACTTCCCACTCTTTCTTTCCTTCTTTCCTTCCAGATTTCTGCAATAAAGGAAGAGAACAACAGACTGAGGCAGGAGAAGCATGTTCTGAAAAATAAACTGGAAGAATTGAAGAAGAAGGTCCTCTGGAACGATCCTGTGATGGTAACAGAGTCTGTGTGGGCACTTGGGTCTGCTGGCAAAGGCACAAGTCTGGCTGGAGAAGCTGCAGGTGAATGCAGCTGGGCACTGTGTGATGACTGGAACAGCTCCTCTGCCAGGGTCAGGAGCTCTGGTCATGGCTTTGGGATTCCAGGCACAGCCAGACACTGGGAGAAACTCTGCTGAGGTTCTCCAGCAGTTTATTTGAGCCATGAGTTTATTTCTAGTCAATGGATTGGCAGGGACATGCCCTGTGCAGGGTCCAGTCTCCTTCAGGTGCTGTTTGTACTTGTACCTAGATACTGTCTGCCTTGCCAGAAAAGAAAATGATCTTTAAGGGACTCACAGCAAACAAGGAGGACATGAACAAGCTGATGCTCACCCCACTGATCCACTGCCCTCTGCCAGGGGGCTCAGCTCTCATCACCTTTGAGGAGGCAGAGGGTAAGTGTGAGAAGAGCACTGCTCTGGCCAGGTGTCCTCGATCATTTTTGGGCCTGCCCTCTGTCCCCTCCCTGTGCCAGAGTTTAGCACTGCCCCTCTCCCTGCCTTGTGTGGGGCTGTGCCCCCTCCCCAACACCTTTGCCGTGCCGTGTCCTGTCCTGGAAAGCTCTGGGAGTGGGCAGTCACTCCCCTGTGCCGGGGGCTCTCCCTGCCTGCAGTGGCCCAGAGGATCATAGAGATGAGGGAGCACACGGTGGAGCTGAGCTGTGGGGAGCTGGAGGAGCTCGACCAGTGCAGAGCGCGAGTGCGGGCAGTGCCAATGGACATCCTGCTGCCATCTGCCCTGGAGGTAGGGCCCCTGGGTCCCCATGCCAAGGGGGTGTCCTGGGCACGCTGCTTCCCCTGTCTGAGCCTGCCTCGACCAGGGCTCTGCTACCAGCCACACACAGCACTGCTCCCCTGAGCTCTGGGGCCAGTCCTGCCCTGGCACTGACTGGCTGGTGCCACCCACAGATCAGGCTGTCTCAGAGCAGCAGGAGCATCCTTGTGTCTGACTTGCCCAGCCTGGACATCTCCAAGGAGGCACTGCTGGACAAGCTGGAGCTCTTCTTCAGCAAGACAAAGAACGGGGGCAGTGAGGTGGAGAGCAGGGAGTTCCTGGAGGACTCTCACCAGGTGGTGCTGACCTTCACACAGGATGGAGGTGTGTGAGGTGTGCTGAGCCTGGGTGGCTGGCAAGGGTGGAACAGCCCAGCCTGCTCTGGAGGGAAATCTCCTGAGAGCAGATGAAGCTGTGTTTGGGGAACAGGGAAGATACAGTGAGCCCCAGGCTGTCCTGCCTCCCCCAAAACTGCTGGCTGAGCTGGGCAGTGTCAGCCTTGGTGCCTATGCCAGGGACAGAACCTCTCCTGGAGCTTACCTGGGCAGCTCAGGGCTTTTCTCTCCATATGCAGTGGCAGAGCCGCTAATTGAAAGAGGACATACCCAGGTGCCCATTGGGAAAGGGAAATACAAAATCAAAATATCACCATGCATGAGTGGAGACATCTCTAACCTGCAGGTAAGGGCAGGAACCCTGTGCAAGCAGCACCTACCAGCCTGGGTGGAGGCAGCACAGGTTGGGGGGCTCCTGAAGCCCCTCTCCCAGCGCTGCTGTGCTGCTCACCCCCTGCTCTGCCCAGCTCCAGCCCTCCCGCTGCCCCAGGACCGTCCTGCTCCTGGGCATCCCCGATGTGCTGAGTGTGGAGTCCATGAGAGACGCCCTGGAGATCCACTTCCAGAAGGCCAGCCGCGGCGGCGGGGAGGTGGATGTCCTCGCCTACGTCCCAGCGGGGCGGACAGGGGTGGCCGTGTTCGTGGAGGACACGGGCTAGTCCTGCCCAGCTACGGGCTAGTCCTGGCCAGCCCCGTCAGCTGAGGCGCTCCGTGCATCCGTTGACCCGCGGGCACGGGGGAAATTAAAGTATCTGTTGGGAGCAGCCACCGTGTCTGTTGTGCTGGGGCCGAGCCGGGCTGGGGGCAGGCTGGGCCCTTCTAGGCCGTGCTCTGAGGGACCGGGGCGAGGCTGGGCCCTTCCCCGCCGCTCTCTGAGGGGCCGGGCCGTGCTCTCCCTCGGGCCCAGGGGGGAGCGGCCCCGCTTTCGCTTTCGTTTCCTCGCGGCGGCGGGGCCGGGGCGGAGGCCGGAGCGGCGGGACCGGCCGGCGAGGGCCCGGTGTGGTGAAGCGCGGCAGCCGTCGCCGGGGCTCCCGGGAGGCCCTGCCGGTGTGGCGGGGCTCGGGCAGCCGCCCCCGCGGGCATGGCGGGCCGCACGGTGCGGGTGCAGGGCTTCCCGGCCGAGCTGCCTCCCGACAGGGCGGCCGACAAGCTGACCATTCACTTCCTGCGCTCCCGCAACGGCGGCGGCGACATTGCCAACGTCCGGGTGCTGCCCGGCTCCCTGCCCTGCGCCCTCATCACCTTCGAGGCGCCGGAAGGTAACGCCCGCGGGACCCTCGGGGGCCTGCCCTGTCCCACCATCTCCAACCCCCTCTGCCCTGTCCCACCATCCCCAGCCCCCCTCTGCCCTGTCCCACCATCCCCAAGCCTCACTTGTCCCTGTCCTGCTACCCCCTGCCCCACCATCCCCAGCCTTGACATTGCCTTACCCACCCTCCCCTGTCCTGCTGTCCCCAGCCCCACCATCCCCTCTCCCCCACCCCACTGCTGTCCCTTGGCTGGGCTGACGCAGGTCTGGGTGGCTTTTCCCACCAGTGGCCCAGAGGATCTTGAAGGTGAAAAACCATGTGCTGGCGATTGGAAAGACACAGTACCCACTGGAGGTGACGCCCCACGCTGCAGAGCTGAGCCCCAATGAGGTACTGAGGGGATTGGCAGCCCCAGCTGCTCCCACACAGACTCTGTGCCTGGCAGGCAGCTTGAGAAGGGAGACCTCACTCTCTCCTTTCATCTTAATTACACTTAAATCCATTCTTATTCAAATTAAGATTTTTTTTTTCCTGTGCTAATAGCACAGGGACAGGCAGGCAGGCTGTCTCTCAGTCATCTGGCATTTGTGCCTGTCAAATGAAGGGTAGTCAGGCTGGAAGAGAACAGGCACTTTTCCCCAGTCCATCTGGTGCCACACAGGGGATCCTGTTAATGCCTCTGCTGTGTCATCA